CCCCTCCCCCTCCCCCTCCCTGTTCACCATAACAACAAAGTTCACGTTGGTTCTTATCGCGAGGTCAAGTGATGCGCCTTCCCTCTCCCTCTCTCTCAAACTCATCATCTCCAAAATCGCCGACAGAAGTGGGTTAACGGAAAGGTGTACAGAGAGATAAGAAGATAATAGCCCCCGGGTGCCTCCGAGGTGCCGTTGAGCCAGTTCGTGTGTGTGTGTTGGTTCGTGTACAAGTCCTTCTTGACGTCCGTACGTGTAGTGTCGGTGTATTCTGCTTCTGTGCTATCCGAGTGAAAGTGGAAGTGTTGGAAGAGGAAAAAAGGAGAGAATCGATGTTTATTTATTGATACGTGGCTCTTGGAGTTTTATTTTTATTTTTATTTTTTTAGTAGAAGTGTTATAGGAGTAGTGCATTGGTTAGAGAGATTTTAAAAGTACTTGTGATTTAATAACGGTGATGGCTAACACGTGTTGGTGTTGCGTGTTAGCATATGAGCTTTGTTTCGGCTCCTACTTTGTAATGGTGTGATGAAAGCCTCATGAAATTATATGTTTGCATTTTTGCTTATGTCTGTGAATATAAGAGGCAGAGACGTAGTGATATTTCCCCCGCAAATCTCCGTTACTTAATGTTCACAATAAGATGAATCCAGACGCTGAGGAATGAAAAAGATCGTGTGTTCAGTCGTTACCGATGTTACCGTATTAAAATCGTTCCCAATCGCCTCATAACGAGATCGTACCTATTAAACCACCATCAAGGTCCAGCGGAGATAAAAGCCTCAGTCATTATCAGAAAAGGATAAGAGGCAACCAGGTTTTCCTCCGAGACCCCACACCTCCGCCAGCCTCTTTGGCCATGTTCTGCAGAGCGAGGGGCCCGGAACACCTGTCCCCGAGGAGCATTGTTAGCGCCCTTGTCCTGCAAACTCCTTCAGAACTTCCCTAGTCGCTCACAACAGCCTATGCCTCGTAGAACTCCTCGAATGCAGCGCCCCAACCAAGGCAGAAGTTGGAACACAGCACCCACGCGACGGAGGAGCGAGCGAACAGCGGGAACGCGTGTGACTTTGACCTTTAAGTCCCTAAAGGCGAGTGGCATGAACGGGCCGCTGTTTTATGGGTTCCGCCCTTCAGCCACCCGATGGGGAGATCAAGGTTCTGGCTGGCCGAAGTGGGCTGTCTTTGCTTCACGTGCCATTGCTTAAGGTAAATTTATGTCTTCATATCGACTGCGTCTGATCATAGGCGGGGGAAATGGGGTTTCTTTTGAGAAATGGGGGTTTTTTTTGCCCTTGTTTGCTTGTTAGGGTTTTTAGTTTTAACAGTTGGTTGGTGAGGAAGTTGTGTGATGTTGATGTCCAATTCTGTTATCGTCTCTCTCTAGATATGTCTATCTGTTTCTCAGTTTATCTGTGTATCTCCATTGATATATAATATACTTGTATTTGTGTGTGTGTGTGTGTGAGTGTGTGCGTGTGGTGTTCATCAGATTTTAGCTGTGTGACCATATTTATAGGACCGACAACTAGTGATGTTAAGTTTTATTTTCCTTACAAATAATTCTCATTTTCAAAAAAAGATTTATGAATTATGGACTCACGTCCATGGGTTTATTGCTTTTTTACGATAGTTTTGATGGGTCATGTTTTTTTCAAGTTCCATTTTTGTCATACCACCGCGATTTATGCTTCACACCGACCCACACACATACGCATATATATATATATAATATATATAATATATATATATATATATATATATATATATATATATATATATATATATGTATATATATATATATGTATATATATATATATATATGTATACGTATATATGTATATATACGTATATATGTATATATACGTATATATGTATATACGTATATATGTATATATATATATATATACGTATATATATATGTATATATGTATACATACGTATATATGTATACATACGTATATATGTATACATACGTATATATGTATACATACGTATATATGTATACGTATATATGTAATATATACATATATATATGTATGTAATATATGTGTGCATATAATATATATATATATCATATATGTATGTATGCATGTATATATGTAAATGTATATTACTTAGTTTTGTGTAGTCATTGCATGCGCGAGCGTGCATTTGTGCGTGTTGCAAATATGGGCACCCTTCCTATCTGCTGTTTTGCAATTTTTGTGCGCGCTATGTATTCTGGCAATAAACCCAAACAAATATATGATACCAATATAAATCCTATAAAAGCAAATGAAGAATAACTCTAACACACTGAAAGGACCATTTTAAAGCAGAAAATAGCCATACGTTTCATATACAAAACTCATTTATAGAAAAGAATGAAAAGGAAGAAGAAATATACCTTAAGGCCCGGAAATGGAAGAAAAGCAGAAGGATTGTGTCCCCTCGGCCGCCGTAGCGAGGTTTGATAAGTGCTTCCCTACAGCTGATAAGGCTTATAGGGGGGCCTATG